CGCGATCCGTCCCTGCTTCATTCAGTACTTTCCACGACCTTGATCGTTGAAAAACCATTTTGCTACAGGAATTTATGCAGCAGAGTCAGAAGTAAAACAAGAAAAAGGGACGCGACCGAGATGCGCGGGTGCTCTACCATCGCTCATTCTTGTCAAAAAGACCTAGGCCATTTTCTACGCCGCTTGGCTCACATGGCCACACTTCTAATGCAGCTTTTCTTCCGCAACGGCAAATAAAACTTGTGCTAAAAAAAACTTTGTCCTAAAAACTTCCTTGTAAATGGTATTTGCATAGAAAAAAAAAACCACTTCCAACTTGCAGTCAAGTTGTTTGTAGCTCACACATACGGATGCTCGGTAAAAGTTCGCAACTGTGAGGGCTTTTTGCTCAAAATACTCCCTTTCAGATAGAAAGTAGTAGCAAAAAGCAAAAAGAAAAAGCCTCTTACTTTAAACAGGGACCTAAAAGTATCTCACACCAGCATTCCTGACCCAATATTACTGGAAAACCATCCCCTTCTCTGTTCCTCCTTAACGGACGTTTTAGGAAAAGAGAATTAAAAACCATTACCTCAATCTTGATCCATTTAAAAAACAGCTGCCTGATTCAACGGCATCAATAGGATAATTCTGAATATATGCATTTTTATGGAATTCTCTGCTTTCAGAAGAGGCGATGATCTTCCCCTACCGTACCAGTACAATTGCTCTTTGATACCTTTAAGGGACAATCCAAATTCTACCAGGGAGAAAAAGCAATGACGCGTGACAGCAGACCAGAAAACCCACCACTCCAGTTATGACCATCTACAGAATAACGGGTTTATGGAAGTAGAACTCTCCCAGATCCCTACCGAGACCTGAAATCCCAGGCATTGATAGTATAATTCTGAATATATGAATTATTATGGAATTCTCTGCTTTCAGAAGACGCGATGATCTTCCCCTGCTGTACCAGTACAATTACAGTTTGCTCTTTGATACCTTTAAGGGACAATCCAAATTCCACCAGGGAAAAAAAGCAATGACACATGACAGCAGACCAGCAAACCCACCACTCCAGTTACGACCACCTACAGAACAACGGGTTTATGGAAGCAGAACTCTCCCAGATCCCTACCGAGACCTGAAATCCCAGGCATTGATAGTATAATTCTGAATATATGAATTATTATGGAATTCTCTGCTTTCAGAAGAGGCGATGCTCTTCCCCTACTGTACCTGTACAATTATAATTTGCTCTTTCATACAAAAAGCAATGACGTGTGACAGCAGACCAGCAAACCCACCACTCCAGTCATGACCACCTACAGAACAACGGGTTTATGGAAGTAGAACTCTCCCAGATCTCTACCAAGACCTGAACTCCCAGGCCATTCTCCCACTGCCAAACTGGGCTGCGAGCAGAGTGAGATCCCACAAGCAGGCATAGGGTATGGAAATTTTTTTTTCCCCCCCGATTTCTGCCACTTTCAGAACATTTAGAGAGTTGGGGTAGGGGGTTTCTTTGCTAGAAGAGCTCAGCAGACTTTCAGTTTCGCTTAACAAAGCACAGTAACAGAAAAGCTCAACAAAAAAACCCCTCGGAGGCCAAAAGAGAACAAGCCCAAAATACACTTCTGAACACCAGAAAATATTTAGGAAAACAACTGCAGCTGACACTGCTTAACACATTTAATCATCTTCAAACAGTTGTTTAAACACTAAGCCCTCTAAAGCTACGGAGCATGCGGATGATTTATCTAGCAACCAGGTGATCTGCACCGGACCTTTTAATTTTCCTTACACGGGGAGATGGGGCTAAAATATTGCCAAAAGACCACGGTGCAAAATGAAGATTTCGCAAAATATATTATCTCTTCTTGCAAATTCATTCACTTCTTGCAATTCTGGGCTAATATCCAACACAAAGGGTTATTTTTAGCTCTTGCAAAGAACTAATAGGAAGGCCGTTGTGAAACACACAGTTTCTTGCCAATAGCCTCATTATTTAGAAGGTCAAAAGCACCTTGCTACCGTGCGATGTAACTAACTTGGAGCTGACGTGGTCGACTCGGACTTCAGAGGAGGAAATTATGGGGCTGCTAAATTTTTTGCCCTCTGACTGCAAGTGCCTCCTTTCTCCCTCTTCGCACCACAGATGAATTAAGAATTAAAGGATTACGTCAATATTCAAAAAACGCTCGTCTTGCTACAAAATACTGATAGGCGATTTGCAGTCTGTTAAATAAACAAGGAAACACACAGAAATATCCGTATTTCTATCTAGCCAAAGAACATAAAACTATTAATTAACCGTCCTGTTAATGAGATATCATGATTACACATGAAATTGGTGCATTACAGAGTTTCCTACGGGTAAGGATGGATTCGGCAACTCAACAGATCCGGAGCCGATTTGTAGCCCTGGTGTCTTGCTCCGGAAAAGCAGACATCAGGGGATTGCTGTCATCACCTCCTCGGTTTAGTCATGTAATTTCTTTTGAATCCTTTCAACAATTTCTGTTATTAATGCAAATACACACGAACACGATGTTTCCTTTTCAGTTCAGTCTCTCACAAAGGAGCCGGCTAACTCGGGAAAAGAAGAAGTGGAGATCGACGCTATGCCTAAGCTACGCAGAAACTTTACCAAAGAAACCTCTGCTCGCCCATCAGGGTGAGCACAACGGCCCTGTGCCTCGGCAAGGCAGCTTCGCTTTCCCCTCGAGACCGCAAAGAGCCAGCAACGGCGGCATCTCCCATCTCTGTGCCACTGCTAAGCATGGCACCAGGCCATCTTGGCCTTCTGTCATCTGCCCTTGGAGATTTTCATCATCTCGTATGCATCACCTCATATTCATCCTTCCAGCTGTGTCATGTTGCCATCACATACTTCTTAATCACAGAATGTTTGGGGTTGGAAGGGACATCTGTGGGTCACCCAGTCCAACCCCCT